GGTCTCCCTTTATTGCCTTAAGCAATTTTGTATTCAGTTTATTTATTCTGACCTTTTGGTTGTCCTTCCACCTTACAGTTTTTAACAGAGCAAGGCTCCGCAGAAGGAACCTGCGCTGCTGGCAGCAGATGATGGGGTATGTTCAGGGTGATGGGGACGATGCAGGTCTGGGGCCTGATTCCCATTTGCATTGAAGTTTCTTCACCTAGCTCTGACAGCACAAGGCACTGACAATAAAGTCAAGGCCCAGATGAGGGAAAAGGCTCTGGCTTATGCTGCTCTGAGTAAAGTCCCTGGGAACCAGAAAATGATAGCAGGACTGGGATGGGCTTGATTTTCACATAGCCTTGGGCTACAGAGAATGTGCTACAAAAGCACCGCCTTCCTCTTCTCTTCATAACTCCCAGTCCTGCCCCAGATACAGGAACAGAGTAATTGAGAACAAAGTCCTGTTCTAGTGAGGTGTTTTGTGCCAGCAAGGTTAACGTTCAGGGGCAGCGCATGGCAGAGCAACGCCGCACTTACTGCTGGGGAAGCTGCTCTCCGGGTGCTGTACTCACTCCAGCTACAAACAAGGGTCTGATTTCTTATCCTCAGAAAGCAAAGACAAAGCAAGTTGGTCATTGAAATCTGCAGCAGCATGCATGAGATTAAAATGTTAATGTCAATATTGTAATCAAGGTCTGACTCACAGGACAGCTGGTAAGAGACTTGATCTGTATTGCTTAGCCCCAGTCATCTGATGCAGACCAGGGTTACAAAAAGGTTGCGCCCCATCACATGGCAGGGATTGGCATGCATCGGCTTCTGCAGCTATCTGTGGGCTGGTGGCTGAAAGGGAAAAATCAGATCAAGTGCAGGAGCAATATTGATAAGTTTGGCTCTCTCTGTAAACCAGCAATGTAGAGCCCTTCTAAAAAGGTCCCTGGTATCATCGAAGCTGCAGCTCTGTTACGACAGTAATGGGATGCCTGCTGTCTTCAATGGTGCTGCTGAGAGGCTCTCCTCCTTCCTTGTCTCACTGACCCATCTCTCTCCCTGCTTTTGGAATTTTCTGTGCTAGTTTATATTTAGCTGAGTTTTATCTCTTTGAGCCTCTGGTAAATTTTGCCTGGTGTTGACTATAGTCTGCAGAGCTTCTTTTCAGTAAATTCAGGATTAATGAAGAAGGCCCCTCTATTGTTGGAATGTCTAATACAATTATGAACTGAATGAGAGGACTCGGCAGCAGCGAAGGGCTCCCAGGTTCATGGCAGAGAATTGTCTGTTTTAACATCCATCTGTTTTCATTCCCTCTGATCCATTATCATTCACCTAGAGTTATAACATGATGAATATCATTGTGTGGAAAGCCATTTGATGCTAGGGGGGAAAAATCACTGTAGGTCTGCCTTCTATTGAAAACGTGAAATTGCCTTGGTAGAAGGAAAGGCACGATTGATTCAGAGATGCTGTTTCAAACAGAAGCATCCTTTCAGATTTGGACTGTTTGATTTTGTTAATTCCTTTGGGTGACCCTTCTGCTGTGTTTTTCAAGGAAAATATACATATATACAAGCTTAGGGTTTCCCACAGATAAATATTGATAACCACAGTGCAATAGATGTGTTCATTGTTTTTTACCTCCCACTGCTGAAACTGTGCATTTAATTGATCAAATATATGTATATCTTCACCATTTTCCCAGGAAGACACCTTCAGTTTGCATGCAGAGTGACACTAAGCAGTTGTATGTAAGCACATAAGCATGGTGAGAATCTTGATGACCCTGCCGACAGGAAATAAAGGAACTTTACAGGCAATTTCCGTTGTCCTCGTTGGTCAGAAAATTTGGAAGTGAATGAAAAAAGAAAAGAGAACTAGAAATGCATGTTAACGATGGAGGACTAAAGCACGATAGGATTGAAGGGAGTGCTACCCAGAGGACCTGTTATAAATTCCACCTTTTCTCTTTGTTAAGGGGTTACCATTATAATTAACTTGTGAACAATACAGAAATTATCTTGTGAGTTAAGAGATGCTCACAAATGTAAGAAAAAAGCTTATTGAAATCAGTATAAATGCTCTTTTCTAGAAAGTGACTTAAAATATTGGTAAAGCAAATACAGTTGGTAAGATCAATCCATTGTTTAACTGGGTGTATCTAAGCTTTCATTAACAACCATCTTGCAGAACTTGGTTATATCTTTAAAATACTATGTATCTGAAATATTACAGTACTGTCCTTAAAGAGACAGGAGGAGAGAAAATGCTCCACTGGAAATCTCACAGCCCAGCCAAACACAAGGCAGGTAACTGTGACCCCACGAGCCTGTAAATATCAAAGCAAGTGGTTAGACTTAGACATCTCCCTTCATTAACTGATGTGCAAAAGATTATAGGATTTTATTAGGACATAAATGACACCAGTACAAGTGTGATTGAGGCATGCAATGCATGAATGACTATTTGCATTAAGAGGCTCTGTACCACACATGGGATTTCTACCTTTGGTTTTGAATTGCTTAAATTCAAATGACGTTTCTGTGCTACTTTTTAAGAGGGTGATATTTATTTTAGCTCTTGTTTAAGTAAGGCAGGGCAAAGCTGTTGCCAGACACCAGAAATCCTCCAAAAAGGGCCTGTCAGGGCCAGGTGGAATGAGGCTAATTTTCAGCTGCTCCATTACTACAACTGGATGAGGAATGTGATGAAAGCAAGGAAAGGCAGGCACTGCATACACAGAGCCTTTGACAGGCTAGAACCCAGCCACCAGCCTGCCTCTCCTGGGCAGGCCACTGCTTCAAGGAAGCCATCGTCCCTGGCGGTGACTGAACAGGTGGCAAGGGCCTTTTTTGGCTTCCCTCACTTCCACAGCTCCCACTAACCCTGAATCTCCTTCATAGATATTTATCTGCTTATTTATGTAGCTTCTACTCCTCTCGCACACAGAACTTGAGGTTACCCCCCAGGGAAGGGGGAAGCTAGAGCAGGTGAGGAACGAAGCCAAGGCAGTAGAACAGAGCCAGCCAAGGAAAGGAGGACCCAGGAGTGATGCTAACATGTGGCAATATCTAACTGTATGCAATAAAAAACGATAACGGGAGGATTAGGTCGTGCTGCTGTTGTGACACACAGTGCAGCTGGTGCTCTGCAGTGTCCATGCACCTCTCCCAGGCTGGGCCCTCCCAGGTAGGCACAGGGACCCTGCCTGGAGCCAGGCCTAGAGGAGACCCAGGGGAGAAGCTGTAAGAGCAGGGAGCATGGAGCGAAGCGGGGCGTCATCCTGTGTGGCAGAGGTCTGATGAGGCCTTGGTGAGATGGATGGGTGCAGAGCAGGGCTTTAAGGGGTAGGATCTCCTCCATGACTCTGGCCTCCATCCTCTGCTCCCTGCGCTGCTCCAGATGCCACCTGCAGCTCAGTGTCACCAGCCTGTCGCACAGCCTGCCCCTCTGCCCTCACTCCGCAGATCTCAGCCTGTCCCTGTCCCCCAATCACCCCTCAGCCTGCTCCTCACCTCTGTTCACCGCATAACTCCTATCTCACCCTCCGTGCAAGTCAGTTCACCCCTCATCACGTCACTCCTAGCTCAGCTCCTCACAGAACCCCCAGCTATTCCCTGAGCGTTGCTCCCAGCTCATCCCTCATTCCTCTCCCACCGCAGGACCCTGCTGAAGGACAGAGTTGGACTCAGAGGTCCCTTCCGAGCCCTACGGCCCTGTGACTGCATAACCCCCAGCTCGTCCCTGTCCCCTGCTCATCCCCGGTCCCTCAGTTCTTCCCTTCGCTCCCAACTCCTTCTTCAGCCCTCGGTTCATCACTTCAACTCCCAACGGATCCCTTTTTCCCGACCCCATCCCTCAGCTCTCCCCCTGCTCCAGACCGCTTCCCCACCGTCGCCACCCTCCATTTCCCGGGCCAGAGGCAGGAGGGCGGGCGGCAGGCAGCCCCCCCCGCTAAGGGAGGAGCTCGGCCGGGGGGAAACTTTTCCGGGCGGTGGGGGTGAGGGCGGCCAGCGGGTCCCCCCGCTGAGGCGAGCGCGGGGGGGTGGTGGGAGGCGGCCGCGCGCCGCCGGCTGGGCGGGAAGGAGGAGGAGGAGGAGGAGGAGGAGGAAGAGGGGGGGCCGGGGGCACGGCCGGGCCTGCGCCGGGGAATGACGCGCAGCTGGCAGCCCTGCTCATGCGCGGCCGGCCGGGCGGTGCTAGCGCCGCGTCCCAGCTCGGGGAGAATGGGGCGGCATCCGGGCAGCGCCGACTGAGCGGCTTCTGGGGGCCGGGGCTGCGCCGCGCCGCGGGCGGCCGGGCTGGGGCGGGCGGGCGAGCGGCATCCGGCAGCGGGCGGCGGCGGAGGGGGCGCCGCGCCGCGCCGGAGGGGGCTGCGAGCCGCCGGCGGCGCCCGGCGAGGAGGGGTCGGCGGCGGCGGCGGGCGGCGGCGGCGGCGGCGGGCGGCGGCGGGGGCTGCCCAGGGATTGTCTCGCTCGCTCCGCGGCAAGAAAGTTGGGCGGCGGGCCCCCGGCCGCGGAGCGGGGCCCCGGAGCGGCGCTGCCCCCGGGGAGGGGGCGCCGCGCCTGGATTATCCCGAGCCGGGTCGGAGCCTCCTGGATCTGCCTCTCTCTTCCGCGCCGAGTGAAGCCGAGCTGTCCTCGTCCTGATCCAGATAGACCCCCCCCTCCTCTCTGTTCTCCCCTCCTCTTCCCGTCTCTGCTTTTTTTTGGGGGGGTGGGGGGAGGCAGGGGGGTGGAAATTTGTCAAGGTCATTCCGTGGATTTAATATTTTTGGTGTGTGTGTGCCGCTCGCCCCGCCGCCACCCAGCCTTGCTCTGTGGATTACCATCGCCCTGGATCCGAGGCGCTGAACAGCAGGATTTTTGTTGTTGGTGGTGTTGATTTTTTTTTTAATTTTTTTTCTTAAATTATTATTATTATTATTGTTTTTAAAGGGCTGCGGGGTTTGGAGAGGGGAAGCGGAGAGTTGGAGGGGGGCCACTTTTAACCCCCCCCCCCGCACCCCCCACCCCCACCTCCCCGCGCCCGGCCTTCTCATCTTTTATTTTTCCTTTTTTTTTTTTTTTTAAATATATATTTTTATTATTTTATTTTTGCTTTGCCTCCTCTTCGGAAATGGATGGGAAAATCCGGCAGAGCCGGAGGTCGAGGTCGCAGCGGGACCGCGTGCGGCGGCGGGAGGCGGCGGCCCGCGACCCCCGCAACCAGAGCCCCTCGTCGGGCTCCGAGAAGGAGCCGAGCCCCGGCAAGGAGAACGGCGGCCAGAACTGCACGGCCCCGCGCGGCCCCCCGCCCGCCGCCCGCACCGCGCGGCCCCCGCGCCGCCGCCGCCGCGAGTCCAGCTCCCAGGAAGAGGACCTGATCGATGGCTTTGCCATAGCCAGCTTCAACACGCTGGAAGCGCTGGAGGTAAGAGCCGAAAGGGCGGTGTGGGGGGGAGGGGGAGGTGGGAAGGAGTGTTTCTTCCCTTCATCTGTAGGAGGGGGTGGGAGGAAAAAAAATAATAATAAAATTTTGGAGGGGGAAAAAAAAAAAAAAGCATTGTGCTTTCAGAATGCTGAACGTTGTCAGTGCCCGTTTACGTGTGTTAATCCCCATGTTTGCTGGGGGGGGCAGCTTGCTGCAGGCGGTGCCCCCTGCTTGCCCTCTCTCAGGACAGGAGGGCTGCGGCAGTGCTGGGGTGGTCCCATGGCGCGGGGCCCCCCCAGCTCTCAGAGTTTGTGTTTGCCCCGTGCCAAAATGTGACTAGATCCCAAGATGGTTAGCAAATGGCCAGCGTTTGACATTTTGTGGAAAAGAGATGTTTAAATGGATAATAATCCCTCGGCTGTAATTCCCATTTTTGAAGTAATTGAACAAATTCTTCATCTCTTGTTGACTGTACATATTTTTCTGGTGTTAATAGGCTGGCAAAAAATATTGCTTGTCTAACTTATTACAAACAATATTTGCTGAGCAAATACTGCCTGCCTTGTCTGGGCTGAGTCGAGCAGAGCAGGAAATCCAATGTTTTCAGAGGGGCATTGACAAACTACAGCTTTGGCTTTTGGTTTTTGCTCTGTTTGTGTGCATCCATTGGGGTGCTTGGGGAGCCCTGGGATGTGGATCTCAAGAGCACCCCGTGTCTCCGTCTGCTCCCTCTGACACACATGAGGGAGAGCTTGGGGTGCTGCAGGTGTCCTGCTGCTGTGTGTTGATGAAGGGTGTTGCACGGACTGCTGGACGATCCCAACGTTGCAGTGGGAGCTGTGCTGCTTCGGTTCAGGATCCCATCTGTGTGTCACCTCTGTGCTGTCCTGCATGGGAAACCTCAGCCCCAGTGTTGGGGGCAGATCCTGGGGGGCCCGCACTCCCTTCGCCCCAGTGCTGAGTGGAGCTGAGCGGTCCCTGAGCAGCACCAGGTGTGTGTGTTGTGCTGGTGGTTGGCCTTCACGTTGTCACTTGTGGGGTGTTGTCCTGGCAGGAAGGCCAGTATTTTGTCTAACATAGCTGATAACAAACTGGGGATCTGCTTGTGTGCCTAAAACATGCCACAAAACTGTATTATTATTATTTTTTTTTTTCATGGGTGTGCTCTTAGCCAAATCCCCAACAGCAGAGAGGTCCAATTAGAGCCCCCAGCCTCCACCGAGCTGTCAGTGCAGAAAGTAACGTTGATCTTGCAGAAATTTTCCCCCACAATGAGCACATTATCAGGAAATAGAATTCAGATGAGAGCAGTGTGGTCCCTGTAGAGCTGGAGGGAAAACTCGGTGCTTTTTCAATGGGATGCGCCCTGTTATTGCATCGATGGGGCTGGAACCTCGATAAGGGGCTGGGAGGTGACCTTAAACTTTGTTCACCCTTGTGGACAGCTGTCTGTGGGAGCACTGTGTTGTTTTGTCCTTCAGTAAAATGATATACAGATCTTTTTGAGCGGTCCTCTGTGAAATGTTATACGCTAGCAGCTGAAATAAATGGATTCCTATTATTCCCTTGCATGCAGGGGTGCGTGCATGCTCCAGCACCTCAGGGAAGCGGGTTCCTCTAGAGGAGTGTTTCCTGCAGGTATGGGGCCAGGAGATGCTCCCAGCGCTCTGATGTCCGTGTCTGATTCATAAATGGCAGTGACACACAAAAAAGAGGAAACCGCTCAGTGTGGTGTGGATTTCAACTTGTCCATGGGTGCTGCCCAGCAGAGCAGCAGGTGAAGGGGGTTGTTGAGGCACGGCTGCTGGTCGGCACCGTGTGCCCGTGTGATTGGCTGGTGCTGCGGGGTCACTTTGTGCTGTGGCACTGGGGCTGTGGTGTGCTTGGCTGCAACAGGTGGTTTTGTTCTGGTTTGGAGGAGATCAGCCTTTCAGTCTGTGTTCATATACGTGTTTTTTGTTGGAGTGCTTAAAATCTGCTCTGATGAGATTTTGAAAATAAGTGAGAATTGAAACCCTCCGTGTCGGTGGAGAGGGAGAAAGGATATAAGTGAGTGCATGGATCGAGGGCCATACTGGAGTACCAAAGTCTGCTTTGTTTGATTTCTAATCCTAAACAGAACCTTTGTTGTGTCTGTGATAGCGTGTTGCGGTCCCTCTTTGCGTTCTTCCTCTAGGTGTGTTTGTCCCTAGGTGGGGAGGTGACCTGTGCTAGCACGGCTTTGGGTTTCCCCCTGGAAATTAAATCTGAGTGCTTAGGCAGAATTTTATGACAGAAGTGTTGGGAAGACGTAAGGGTTTTTTTTGTTTGTTTTTATCTCAAAATGCTGTGAATTCCCCTTGCCCACTTCAGAAAATCCTCAGCAGTGGTGTTCCTGTAAGCACAGGGTGCTCTGTGGCTCCTGCGCACTGACCTGGTGATGGGGGCAGTTAGCATGAGTGCTTTGTGAAGCCTCTTGTAGCTCTTTGGTGTGAATACCAGGCATTTGGGGCATCTCATTTAACCGGTGTGGCAGTTTTCATCTGAAAATATCGCACCTTGCTTCTGTGATACCCACCTGTGGTTCGACCTACATCTCCCTGGCTTTAACCCCATCAGGTGAAGACAGATTTGACATTTATTTATTTGAAGGAAAAACAAGCAGAGCCCATGGACAGAGCCCAGGAAGAGGAGGCTTCTGTTTTCACTTCCTTCCCCTGAACCTTCTGTGATAAATGTGACTCCCTTTCAGGCTGTGCCCCACTGGTACATGTGCAGGGGTGCTCATCTCCCTTGGGCACGGCGCTGGGGCTAAAAGCCAGGACATTGGGTTTGCCCATTGCTGGTCATCACAGCGAGCTGCAGCCCAGGAGATGGATGGGGGATTTTTGGGCACCTCCCGAAATGAATGGGACGGAGGGGAGAGAGTATGGCTTGTTATGTTCAGATGAAGCTGCTCATTATTCGTGGAGGTGATTGGTGAATCAGAGTGAGAGAAGTGAAATGAGTGAGTGGTGGCTGAGGGCTCTCTGATCATCGCTGTTCCTTTCAAGTACAAAAAACAGCCCTAAAAGGGAACTTCATCAGCATGTTAATGAATGCGATCTTGGAGAGCAATTGTTCTCCCAAAGTAGTCATAAAGATGAGGGGTTGTGTTTTCCTTTTGGCTTTTGTTTATCAATTTTACAAATTCCAGCAAGGCTTTGGAACACTGTGTGGAAATTTTAACTTTCTGGGTGGGTGTGTGTGTAAGAGCTGTGCGTATTTCTTTTTTTAAAGGAATGTTTAACCTATTTATAGCATCTCCTGGAGGACCCACGTGCAGGCAGGCATTGGGCAGCAGCAGGTCCCTGACTGGAGCAGACATTGACCCTGTGCCCACCATGGGGTGCTGGTTCCCTCTGGCTCCTGACTCCAGGGGCTGAGCATGGTGACTCCCCCCCAGTGACTGCTCTGTCGTTGGTGTCACAGGGTTCAGGGAACCCACGCGGTGCCAGCAGGTTCTAGACAGCGTCCTTGGGTTCTTCAGCTGCTGTTCTGATAAGGCTGCTCTTGTGTGTGCTGGTGCTCTGATCTCCCACTGATAAGAAAAGCAGTGCATGTAACTGCAGCTTCCTGCTCCAGCGGTCTGTGCTGGGGCTGCTGGCCTGGCTGTGCAGCTTCTGGTTCATTGGATCTCCCTGTATTTTGCAGTGTAGCTTTTCCATGGCTAACCTGAAGTTTGAAACAAGCTCCTAGGCTTAAGCGTTTATTTTCCTTCTACTTAATTGCCAATTGCTCTCATCGCTGTTGGTTTTCAGTCTGAAGCAGGTACTCTTGGTGTGTTTTTGTCGCTATCAAGGTGTGAGAGGCCCTGAGTACAGAGCTTGGGGGCTGGAGTGAGATGATCTTTGAGGTCCCTTCTGACTCAACCCATTCTATGGTTCTAAAACAGGATGGCTCTGGGATGCCAGGGTGCCTGCTTAGCCCTGAGCAGAGATGTCTGGGTGCCTGCACCATGCTGCGAGGTGATGCGGTGCTGGGCGGGGGTCTGGCTCTCGTTGGAGTGCTTTGCCCCACTAGTGAGCCTTGCTGGGTACGGTAGCGTGCAGGTTGGGTCAGCTGGTGGCATTGTCACCTGGTGTGGGGTCACTTGCACAGGAGCTGTGAGCTCAGCCCTGCCAAGGCCAGTGCCTGCTCGCCCAGCTCTCCAGCGTGCCATCAGCAGCAGCAGTGCCATTGAGCATAGCTGCAGTGTCATGGGGAGGAAGTGGTGTGCTCAGCCCAGGCCGGGCTGTGGGATGCTCAGGCCTTTCAAAGCTCAGCCTTTCTTCAGTGGGCTGAAAGCTGGGGTGAAAGGTGGGATGGAGCTTGCTGCAGTGTCTCATTATCCTTAATAATAATAACATGTAAAAAACCAGGGTATTATATATTACACAGGCAGGATTTTTGGATAAAAGGGCCCTAGTGTAGCTAGTGTTCCACTTAATCCAAATAGTAGATGGTACTGGACCCAAGTTAGTGTTTGCGTGTAGCAGTGTGCTTGGCTGCTTGTCTAATGGAAAGCGAGATCTTCTTTGTCCTCCCAGTATGTCAAGGACGTGCACTTTTTATGTTTTGCCTCAATTATTTCCCAGAATGGGGCTGAGTATTACAATGTTTCTTTCTGGGAAAATAACAGTGCAAGGGAGCTGGGAGGGATGGGGTGAGCTGGGCGCTGCGCTGTTTCTCTGAGATTCCTGCTTGCTTGGCTGATGGATCGCTCTACTGTAGCTCTTTAAAAATGCACCGAGTGATGGAGATGCAGTGCCTGGGCTGCAGAGCCACACTCACACAGCGGTACCCACGGTGCTTGCACTGCTTCCTGCGACTGTGAGCTTTGGGGTGGTGGTTTCATTCTGATATCCTCCTGCTCTCTTGTTTCCTGGTTGTGCAGAGCTGAGCTGTCTGGCACTGCAGGCTGCTTCCCTTCACCTGTACGGATCCTAACTGGGTGAAGAAGGTCTGCAGGTCACTCTGTGCCTGCAGCACTGCAGGAAGCT